TATTTATTGGAATAATTACTTAAGCAATTATAATAAAAAAAACACAAAAATCATTGCTTTATATAAAATTAAATTGTTTCAATCTACATTAATTTATTAATATTAATTAATTGTTAATTTGTTCTTCACTTTCTACAAATTTTAAGTATAATTTGTTAATGAAATGTGTTAATTTGAATGAAAGAAAATTTAATATATAAATTACAATGATTCACTTAAATTTAAATGTTAAATGATAATAATTGTTTTTATTTTTACATATTTGATAGCAAATCCATGAAAATATGAAGAAAGTACAAATTTAGTTAATTTAATGAAATTGCATTTTTTTCTTCTTATAATTAATTAGTAAACTAAATTATGAAAAGTGTAAGGTAATTTATTGAATTTATGTATGAATACATACAGATTTATCATTGCTTCATATCAATTTTGTACATAAAAAATGAAATTTTATGTATAATTTACAATGATTCACTTAAATTAAATTTATCAAAATATATAATTAAATACCAATTTAAATGTTTATTTTATAATTACAGATTAAGAATGTTAACATACTTGAAATAAAGAAATACATTTTCAAATTTAAACCTTTCTCTTGTTAAACCGAATGAAAATTACTTAGAAAATAAACACATTTACAAAACGTAACGAAAATTGTGCTGTAGGAAAATGTATATCAAATTTCAATAAAACAGTAATAAATTGTACGCGTTACGCAAGTAACACTTAATAGTTTCTGCGATCATTGAGCATGAAGGAACCATAGACACAATCATAAATATTTGTCAATTAGCATTTTGCATGTTTGATGCAAAAGAGGAAAAAAAAACGTAAATTGAAATAAAGAAAGAACAAGTAAAAAAAAGTAAAGTGAACTTGCATAAGAATGTGAATATGTGTGTTAAGTGTGCGTAACATTTATTTCGTGGTTAAAAGTATAAAAGGCTACAATTTGATGGTTTCGAGCACAGTCGACAAACAGTCCTGTTCCGAGGAGGTTTTCAACTCAATTTAAACATGAAATTCTTTGTAAGTTTTATCATCAATTTGATTAGGTTTTCTTTTTACTAATTGGTTTATTTTAGGTTGTTTTTGCTTGCGCTTTGGCTGTTGCCTCAGCTGGATATTCTACTCCCATTTACCATGGACCTCAACATCTTGCTGTGATTGGTAAGGGTGGAGTACCAATTGATACTGCTGAAGTGCAACACGCCAGAGCTGCTCATTTCTTGCACAAAGCTGAGGCTGAAGCTCAAAGTGGACACGATTACTATTACGAAGATCCAAGCTCATCTTACAAGAGTTACGCTCCAGCTGCTGAAACTTATGGATATTCCACCCATACCCTTCACGCTCCAGCTGTTTACAACCACGGAGGATACGGTTCTTCTTATGGTTATGAACAACACGTACCTTTGATCGTGAAAGGAGTACCAGTTGATACCATTGAAGTTCAACACGCCAGAGCTGCCCATTTGGCCGCCCACGCTGCTGCTTCTGCCAAAGCTTATGACCACTACCATCACTATTAACTTGATCCAAAGAACTTCTCTTTAAGACTGTCACAAATCCAGAGTTTCAAAATGTGTATTTTGATAGCTGGATAACTTCTCATCATACTTTTTAAATTAGCATCAATAAAAAAATATATATACAAAAAAAATTCATGAAATAGTTTAATTTTTCAAAACAGAAAATTCCCCAATTTTTAACAAAATTTATTACTGCTACAAACTAATTTTGACTTTGCATAATCTTTAAAATTCTTATGCTAAGAAGATTATTACCTTTTTTCTTCAAAATTACATTAATAAATTAATTTAATTTTCGACATTTTCAATATTTTGATAAAATAATTTAAAGAAATTGAATTAGAAAATTTCATTTTTTATGTACAAAATTGCTGTGAAACAATGATAAATCTGTATGTATTCATACATAAATTCAATAAATTACCTTACACTTTTCATAATTTAGTTTACTAATTAATTATAAGAAGAAAAAATTCAATTTCATTAAATTAACTAAATTTATACTTTATTCATATTTTCATTGATTTGCTATCAAATATGTAAAAAACAAAACAATTATTATAAAACAATAAATGAATGAGAAGTTTTTGATCGAAAAATAAATATAATTTTTATAGTTTAAAATTAATTATTGAAAAAAAATATTATAATACAAATATTTTTTTAATAATAAAAACTTTAATAATTCCGTTTTTGTTATTAAACAAAATAATTAAATTGAACTATCAGGTAATTATTTGCATTTAAATTGAAGAATTTTTCATTAATATCAATGTTTTTTGTTGTAGTTTAAAGGAAATAATAAATTAATTTGTATTTTTTTGTATGTTTTTTATTGATGCTTTAAAGTAGAGTGAAACATGAGATATAATCCAGCTATCAAATTGCTATGGTAATAAACAATTGAAACTCCGGATTGTGACAGCCTTCTAGTGAAATTCTTCGATGGTAATTTAATAGTGATGGTAGTGGTCGTAGGCTTTGGTGGAAGCAGCAGCGTGGGCAGCCAAATGGGCAGCTCTGGCGTGTTGAACTTCAATGGTATCAACTGGTACTCCCTTAACGATCAATGGTACGTGTTGCTCATAACCATAAGAAGAACCGTAGTTGGAAGTGGATGGGCTTTGGTAGTTCTTGTAACTTTGAGCGGCGTGAGCGGCCAAATGGGCAGCTCTTGCTTGTTGAACTTCAATGGTATCAACTGGTACTCCTTTCACGATCAATGGTACGTGTTGGTCATAACCATAAGAAGAACCGTATTCTTGATTATTGTAAGCAGCTTGGTCGTGGACAATCTTGGTGGAATATCCATAAGTTTGAGCTGCTGGAGCAGAATTGTAACTCTCGTAATATGAGCTTGGTTCTTCGTAATAGTAATCATGTCCACTTTGAGCCTCAGCTTTGTGCAAGAAATGAGCAGCCCTAGCGTGTTGCACCTCAGCAGTATCAATTGGCACTCCACCCTTACCAATCACAGCGAGATGTTGAGGTCCATAATACTTTGGAGTAGAATAACCAGAAGAAGCAACTGCCAAAGCGCAAGCGAATACAACCTAAAGTAATCAAGAGAAATCAGTTTAGTAATTAATAATCAATAAATGGTAAAACTTACGAAGAATTTCATGGTTAAAGCAGTGGAAACCTCCTTGGAACAGGACTGTTTGTTGACTGTGCTCGAAACCATCAAAATCTAGCCTTTTATACTCCAATCCACCCAAATTATTCATCAACTAATCCGTGAAATTCAAAAAGCATACATTTCACGGATTCTTCACAAACTTAAGTAATTTATTTGGAAAATAGTTAATTACAATTTAAAAAAAAAACGTTTCTAAATAAAGAATAATTTCAAGTTTCTAATTAGGATAAATAGATAATAATTAGTTTACAAAATTTTCTGGAAAAAATGATGGTAACTTTTAATCGTAACGAAAAGTTAAGAAAGTCTCTATTTTTATTAATGTATCATATTTATAATCAAATCTAATTTGAGCTAAAGAAAAGTCTATTATTAATAATTTCAAAACTGTATTGATTTCTCCTAACTATTGCATTCAAAGTCGTTCTTAAACTAATTTTAATCAGATTTTGCACACAATAATTACATTTATTTGCAAAATTTTCTTATTAATCGTATAATTAATTGCGTTTACCTCATTAACAAAAAGCAATTTTGGTGTTGGTCGTGTTCAACGGACAGGAACCAGGTGCACCAGGTATAAAATGGGCAGAATTCGTAATTGGAAGCACAGTCTAACAACAGTCCTTTCGTAGGAGGTTGAATCACTAAATTAAAAACCATGAAATTCTTCGTAAGTTTTACCATCAATTAATTAAAGTTTAATTATAAAAAATGTTTTATTTTAGATTGTATTTGCTTGCGCTTTGGCTGTTGCCTCTTCTGGTTATTCTACTCCAAAGTATTATGGACTTCAACATCTTGCTGTGATTGGTAAGGGTGGAGTACCGATTGATACTGCTGAGGTGCAACACGCAAGAGCTGCCCATTTCTTGCACAAAGCTGAGGCTGAGGCTCAAAGTGGACACGATTACTATTACGAAGAACCAAGCTCATCTTACGAGAGTTACAATTCTGCTCCAGCAGCTCAAACTTACGGATATTCCACCAAGATTGTCCATGAGCAAGCTGCGTACAATAATCAAGGATACGGTTCTTCTTATAGTTATGAACAACACGTACCAATGATCGTGAAAGGAGTACCAGTTGATACCACTGAAGTACAACAAGCAAGAGCTGCCCATTTGGCCGCTCACGCCTCTCAAAGTTACAAGAACTACCAAAGCCCATCCACTTCCAACTACGGTTCTTCTTATGGTTATGAGCAACACGTGCCAATGATCGTGAAAGGAGTACCAGTTGATACCATTGAAGTTCAACACGTCAGAGCTGCCCATTTGGCCGCTCACTTTGCTGCAAAATCTCTTGATTACTCCACCAATTCCATCCAGAGTGAATACAATAATAATGGTTACGCTTACCAACAACATGTACCATTGATCGTGAAAGGAGTACCAGTTGATACCATCGAAGTCCAACACGCCAGAGCTGCTCATCTCCAAGCCCACGCTTCAGCCAAATCGCATTACCATCACTATTAATGTTGTTTCTTCATTTTAGAAAATCACCATAGACTGTCACTATCCGGAGTTTCCAGTTGTTTTCAACTCGATAGCCGGATCACATTTCTACACCAATTAAACGCATTTCATAAAATCAACTCCAATAGTTCATTTATTTACACCTCGAATTTCCATTAAATTCCATGAATATCGGTTTACAAAAACGTTTGGCTATTGCATTTCATAGAATACTTCAATTTCTATCCCAAATTTTCAATATTTCATTCATTAATTTTACATTTTGTTTCAAATTATAATAGTATCAATAGTTTTTTTTTGTTAGTGTTAATTATTAAAAATACACTTACTTAACAATTGTACTGTAATTTAAATTAACAAATATATAAAGAAATATGTATCACGAAAATCAGATACGAAAGGTCGTTGGTTCGATTCCCAAAAACCAACAAAAATCTGTGGTAGATGTTAAACCCGAAAGGGGTAGAAATAGGGCCGAAAGAGATTTATATCAATAAATAAATTGATATAAATCTCTTTATTAAAAAAATAAAGAAAATAAGAATTTTTAGTAAATTGATATAGGCAACTTGAAAAGCATCAGAAGATATTAAATTTAATTCACTCATAAACTTTCATTAAACATATATTCTTACAAACTATTAAGTAATAATATTACGATCTATAATTTATTATTAATTATATAATTTATCTACATTGAAAGTTTACCGTGTAATTCAAGCTAGAAAAACAAAATCTTCTTGATCTTCTTTCCGCACTTTGAAATGAATTCGAATAAGTACGCAACTTTATACCACAACAAAATCACAAACAAGAAATTTACAATGTAATGATTGAATATATGCAACTTCTAGTACTTATAGACACTTTGATTTTGACACATTGATGTTTTAATTATGTAATTTCAAATAATAAATTACATTTATTGTATAAATATTTCAATTTCATGCTTATAATTACATTTATTGTGTAACATTTCATAAAAATATTTGAATTTGACAATTTATTATGGGCAACTAAATACACTTCATTGAAATGTTCAATGTAATGATTCTATATATGCAACTTCTAGTACTTATAGACACTTTGATTTTTACCATAAGTGTTTTAATTATGTAATTTCAAATAATAAATTACATTTATTATATAAACATTTCAATTTCATGGTTAAAATTACAATTATTATGTAAAATTTCATAAAAATATTTGAATTTGACAATTTATTATGGGCAACTAAATACACTTCATTGAAATGTTAAATGTAATTATTCTATATATGCAACTTCTAATACTTATAGAAACTTTGATTTTGACACATTGATGTTTTAATTATGTAATTTCAAATAATAAATTATATTTATTATATAAACATTTCAATTTCATGGTTAAAATTACATTTATTGTGTAAAATTTCATAAAAGTATTTGAATTTGACAAATTATTATAGGCAACTAAATACACTTTCTTGCTTGAAAAAAATAGATATTTAGTATAGCGGTGGCAATCGCAAGCCCGACAACCGAAATCCCGACTATATCGAAATCTCAAATATATCTAAATGCCGACTACCATAATCACGACAATCAAAATCTCGACAGTGTCTTTTATTATTATAAATTTCCACAATAATATTTTTATGGTAGTCGGGATTTCGATATAGTCGGGATTTTGATTGTCGGGATTATGGTAGTCGGGATTTTGACATAATCGAGATTTCAAGCGACGGGATTTTAATACAGTCGGGATTTCAATAGACGGGATTTCGGTTGTCAATCATGATTTTTCTGTAATACACAATTAATTTATTATAAAACAATTAATTCAAAATATTAATTGCAATTTTTTTTTACTTCTTTTGCAAGCTTGAAAGTTTTTAAAAGATTGTTGAAATTGTTAATAAGTTTTAATAATTAATTATGTAATATTGTTATAAATCTTTGACTTTTAAATGATTATATAGAAAGAGAAGAAAAAAAGATGATAATTCTATTTCTTGGTGATTTATTTAATTTTTCTTATTGGAATCTAACAGGAACATTTCATAACACAAAAAACTATTTTCTCAGACGCGTCGTCGACAATATGTTACATTGGTCTTGTGTTAGCGGATAAGCGCTGATCTTCTGTCCCTTCAACGGAACTTCCGGAACGAACGAAGACATCCGGTTTCCGGATCTGGTGGCAATCAATTGCGGCATGTACTTGTTGACGGCATCCCTCAAGAACTGCGTCGTCTCCAATTCATCTGCGACGAGAATCGAGAGCGGTTTCGCCTCGACTGTGACCACAGAAGCATTCCTTCCTCTCACCACCATCCTTCGTCTGCGTCGCGCCGTTCCGTCTTATTCCACACGAAGAATTCGATAATTGCACCGAAGAAACGAACACGGAATAATTTCGCCGATAAATCAATGTCATCCGAACGTCAAAATAAATTGACGCGGTTCAATGAGCTTTACTAAACAGCCAGACGAAAATCAACGCACGACGTTTCTTTGTTTCCGCTTGAGATGTGATCACAAAAAACGATAAACATTCAACTTATAAATCCTTCAAACTAAAATATTTGAAAGATTTATAAGTAGAATATTAAATAGTATAATTACTTAAATATTTTCAACATTAAGAACTTATTGAAACTAATTTAATTTTTAATTTGTGTATAATTACAAAAAATGAGAAAAATTAATGCAAATATTATTAAAAATTTCATTCTTTTCTGAATTTTTGATTAAATCATCGAATCTTCTTAATAATCGAAGAAGTAATAGTAGTAAAAGTGAGTTCAGTGAAAATATTTGAAAATACAACTTAGTATAACAAAAATCTTAACTTAAAGGTAATTTCGAAATTAACTATTTTTTTTTACATTAATAACAAAAGAAAACGCTTCGCGTGTAGGAAAAGCATGAAAATGTATTAAAACTAATTTAATTTGAAATTTGTGTAAATAATTAGAAAAATGATCAAAAAATCCTATTTTTTTTTCTTAAACTATTTATTAAATCTTACAACTTCTTAATAATCGAAGTACTAGTAGAAATGTGTTTTTTATATTAATATAAACAAAAATTTAGACGAAAGAATTCATATTGAAAATAGTTGAGAAAAGCGTGAAAATGTAAATAACTTAACTTGGAGATAAAGAAAAAATGGAAATATGAGTAAAAAAATCATATTTTTCTTAAATTATTTACTAAATCATGAAACTTCTTAATAATTGAATTAGTTCAAACGTGTTATGTCTCGTTTCATGTCTATTTTCTATATGACTAATAACTAAAGCAGACAATAAACAAAAATTCTGACAAAAATTTCAATAATATTAAATTAACTTAATTTTTTTAACTATTTACTAAAGAAAATATAGTTACAGTTATGTATATAAATAACAAAAGAAAATGATAAGCGAGCGAAACGAATTCTGAGAAAGAAAAGCGTGAAAATGTAAGTAACTTAACTTGGAGATAAAAAAAAATTGGAAATATGAGTAAAAATTTCACGTTTCTTAAATTATTTGTTAAATCATAAAACTTCTTAATTGAATTAGTTCAAAGGTGTTAAGTTCAGTTTCATGTCTGTTTTCTATATGATTAATACCTAATTTATGAATATGAACAAAAATGCTAACAAAAATTTCAATAATATTCCATTAATTTAATTTAATTTTTTTTAATTGTTTAAGAAAATATTTGACAAAAATCTTATGTATTAAATTAATTATGAATTATGAACAATTTTAGTTAACTTAAACATAATTTTAATATTAATTACGTTTTTTTTTACTAATTAATAAGAAAAGAAAACGAGTCCTGAGAAAGAAAATCGTCAAAATGGAAAACTAATTAAGTTGCAGTTATTAAAAAAAATGTTTGTTATGCAACTAAAATACATGTAAATGTGAATATTCTGAATGATTCAGGTTAAATTTGATAAAAAAATAAATGCTATAGTCTACACGTGTGAAGGAATGCTTGAAAAAAATGCAGACGTCTGCCGTATTTCTCCGAAATACACACAACTTATGAATGGAATGAATGGAAAGTTACAAAAAAAAAGATATGTTGAAAATTCCGACTCAGGTCTAGACGTTAAGATAAAAAAAAACTGAATAAATTTTATATCATCGTTGCAGTCTTTTTTTTTCTTTTTTTTTAAATAATTTAAAGGAATTTACTTTTGCTTGTAAAGTAACTTAGAATTGAAAATTAAATTATAAATCATTCAAACCAAAATATTTACTTAAATATTTTCAACATTAAGAACTAATTAAAACTTAATTTAATTTGTAATTTGTGTATAATTACAACAAATGAGAAAAATTTATGCAAATACAAATAAAAATTTCATTATTTTCTGAAATTACTGATTAAATCATACAACTTCTTAATAATAGAAGAAGTAATAGTAGTAAAAGTGAGTTTTCTAAAAAAACTGTATAAATCAAATTTAATCGTCGCAGTCTTTTTTTTCTGTTAAATAATTTAAAGGAATTTACTTTTGCTTGTAAAGTAACTTAAAATTGGAAATAAAATTATTAAATTGTTGGTAAATTGTTTATTAATTTGACTAATTTGAGCGTTTCTAACGAAACGTCATCTCTTGGTTTAAATTGGAATCACATTTTGACGTTGCTATGATAAATTCTTCTTAATATTTGTAGTAGTGGGCCAATGGGGTGGCGTAGGAATAAGGGTGGGCGTAAGCGGAAACAATTGGTGCATGGGCTGCTACGACTGGAGCGGCTA